CCGTCTGTCCGTCCATCCATCCATCCATCCATCCATCCATCCATCCATCCATCCATCCATCCATCCCCCTCTTCAGCACTTTCCATTTAAAAGGGATCAGATCAGATTAAAACAGAAATAGGAAAAAGGACAAGTCAAACAACTAGATGCTGGGGGATCATAGGCCCAAAATACTCTTTAAATCAAGACTCTACACCTGACAAGAAATGAATTTTGAATCCTGCAGTGGAAAGATGTTTCTCTCTTCCATATACGGAGAGAACACAACTATTTATATTCTGTGCATTATTTTATACGCATTGTTTCTCTTCTGTTTGTTCAGCACTCCTCCCAGCTGTGCTCAAACTTTTCATCCCCTTAATTTATTTCTTCTCTCCTTTGAATGATAGGATGCTGCCAAGATAACGAACTATGCACACATCTATGTCTGAATTATCTGTGCCTTCGATGATAAATTCTTTTAAGAATTAAAGTTGCCCTGTTTCTAAAGCACCTTGTCTTAGCTCAGGACATGTGAGGGTTTTAAATACTGGAATATTACTTTACTCTGTGTTTTTAGTACACAATTTGAAAGCTCTGTACAGCTCTGAAGTGTTGCCTTAAACATCAGATCCAGATGATGCCTTTGTAGTATAAAGAAACATTCAAATTAGGTATAGGTTAGTCTTTATTTTTATATAACTCCTGAGCAGAGCTACAAGGACAACCAAACCTTTCTCTAAGGAGAAGCCTTATTTGGTAGCAGATAAGGATAACTCCTCTAGAGGGTGAAATGCAGAACTCACAGGTCTTATACAAAGAATTTAATAACACTATTAGTTTCAACACTCAGGTCCCGCATCCAGAAATAAGTCTTAAGATACACATTTTAAATAATAATAATTTACAAAACATCTCTTTCATCAGGTTTACTTTTTGCTTCTATGCTCTTTCCTTGGACTCTTCCAAACACTGTCTCGCTTTGACCCTTGTATTTGTAATTCTGAATGTATGCCTACTTTGTGCTTACAAAGACTATTTGCAGAAGAGGTGAGGAACCTATGAATATTAGCCCTCAATTTTCTGCCTGACAGGAAACATGTGGCCAGGCACTTGCTGCCTCCTACCCTAGCATTAGTCACATTGCTGATGGCTTGGAGTCATTAGTTAGTTAAAGTATATTTAGTTGGTCTCAATCCTTTAAATGAATCTTGGCTGGACTTCAGAAGCAGCATGTACTGTGGCAAGCTTTCTCTGATGTCAATTTATTCTTGTAAAATAGGAACCTGACCAAATGCAGTTTCTCTTCATTTCTGATTGATCTTGGGGTGAGAAGAAAATGGAGCTTACAGAAAGCAGACGGCATGTAAAATGACATGGTCCTTTGAGGCCTAACTTTATTTTCTTTGTTTTATAATTTACTTGGGTGACTATTGCTACTATTTAGGTAAAAGTATATTATTCATAATAGAGCTCAGATGTTCAGTGAAATGAATCCTCAAACTAAACATGTATTGGATCCTCGATTTCCTACAAATTTTCCAATATCTTCCATCAAATATTTGCCAGAGACAATCTTACTTTTAAATTATTGTTATAAAAAAGCTAAATTGATTAAGCCCTGGAACATATGAAACGTAAGTGATGTGCAAAGTAAACTTAGCCAGGCTATACTCATTTGAAATGAGAGATTGTAACTTCCAAAGCAAGAGGGCCTTTTGAGAAAATAATGAGCAGTTGTTAGCCTTTTAATATATGACATTAAGTGTTAGGGCCAAAGAAAAGAAAAGAGCACCATCTCTCCACTTGACATGAAATAGGTTAGGAGAGGGGAAAGATAAGGTTGCAGTCATCTCCACCATTTGCTGAAATTAAGTGTAATAGAAGTGATATAGTGACAACTTTTGTTTGGAGATAATAAAAAGTAGAAAATTCATTTTGTGAGCGATGGTGACCAGCCCCAATTCTAATGCCAGAAGTCTCAATAGAGATATCACTCAAAGGTGAATGTTTCCTTGCACAGTGTGAATGCCTGTTCCATGGAAGCCTTTGAGCATATACTTGTACATATATTGGCCTTCACACAATTTGTATGGAATTTGTAAGGAAACCAATTTGTTTCAGCTATACAGTGGTACCTCGGTTCACGAACTTAATTTGTTCCACAATTCTGGTCACGAACTGAATTGGTCGTGAACCGAATCAAATTTCCCCATAAGGTTCAATGCAAATAAGGTTAATCCGTTCTGACCCCTATGAATGTGGTCACCAACCGATTTTGGTCGCCAACCGAATCAAATTTTCCCATAAGGTTCAGTGCAAATAAGGTTAATCCGTTCTGAACCACATGTATTTTTTTTTTTTTACCACAAAAATATGAAACAAA